AAAAATATATATATATATATATATATATATATATATGGCATTAAAAGGGCTGCATTGATTTCTTGCTGCCTAGTGGGAACTGTATTTTAATAATAAAAATAAAAAAGATCTCATGATCCTTAGCATTTCTGGCTTCTCAGTAACTCCGATGAGTTTTTCCCTACCCCTCAGCTGCCCAGCCAGTGGTTATATTGGTTATATCATGGACCTTGCCATCCCTAGAAACTGCAGTGCCACCTCTGAGGTCTCAATGTTGAGCCTCCTGCTCTCCACCTACAGCCACCTAGCCTCTCCGCTCACCTACTCCAGAATCCTTACTGCAACATTTCTTTGTCCTCAGGAGGCTTCTAATCCATGAACGGATCCACTATCCTTGGCAGCCTCTCATCTTCACTTGCCTCCTTGTCCATAGACTTTTCACAAGTACTTTGAACTTCCTGGCTTCAGTCTCTCTCTCCTTCCCGTCTTCTCTGGTAAAACCCCAGTCTGGCCAAACCCAAGCATCACCCTATTCCATGCCAGGATCCAAGCAGCTGGATAAATGAACTAAAGTTCTCTACATTTGGGCTGGCCAGTTTCACATAAATTTCATGATCCCAAGCCCCAGATGGGAACTCCAAACTGCCTGGCTATCCAATTTCATTTCCTCAGGAAGTGTGCTTTTCCTCACCCCGAGATAGCTACTCACACTTCCCCTATTTCCCTCAAACTCCCCATCTCCCTTCTCTATAGAGACACTGTTTAGAGATGAATCCTAGACTTCATCTAAAACATGGACTCCATGAGATGCCTGTTGGCTTTTTACCAAAATTTCCAATCTCTCTGCATCTGCACAGTTTTGTCTGTCTTTTCTCCTTTGAAAACGGAGGGAAAATATCTCACCTATCTTTAAGGAGCAGCCCTCCCACTTCTATCCTTGAACCGATCTACACTTGCCCCTTCTTGTCACTTTTAGTTGTTTCTCCTCTACCTCATGGACCACAGATCTCATGCATGGTCCACTGGGTCAGATCTGTGTTCTAGTACCTCCTATATTAAAAGAAAAATAAATCCTCCCATCACTCTATCTTTGCCTTTTATGCCTCTGGTTACAGCCATTTCTCTACTCTGCTTCACAGCAAACCTTCTTAAAAGTATTGTCTGTGTTCCATCACCAAGAGCATTCCATACTACAGACCTCCCTATCCTTTAAAAATAAAAAGAAAGAAAGAAAGAAAGAAAGAAAGAAAGAAAGAAAGAAAGAAAGAAAGAAAGAAAGAAAGAAAACAACTCCTCTCTTGGCTTCTGACCCCACATTCCTCAGACTGTTCTTTTTCTCTAACTTCCTGAGCTCAACCTCCTCATGTTTCTTTGTGGCCCCTCCTCAGCTCCCCGACCTTTAAGTACTCCAGCCCCATTCTCCTCCCCATCTGCCCTTTCTCCCTAGGTAGTTTCAGGCATTCCCACTCCTTTAAATATCACCTCTAAAGTGATGCTTTCTGGACTTTGGTGTCTAGCCCAGACCTCTCCAATGACCTGCCCACTTCTAGTATCTCCAGCTCCATATTTGGCATCTCAGATGTGGCATATCCAAAAGGAAATGCTTGGTTTTCCCTCCCAATCCTGGTCCTCAGCCAGTCCCAATCCATCAGTATATTACCCGTGATTCCTGCTCCAAAGTACATTTCACGGGACTTCCCTGGTGGTACAGTGGTTAAGACTTCTTACTTCCAATGTAGGGGGCGCCGGTTCAATCCCTGGTCGGGTGCAGCCAAACAATGTATATATTTATTTCAGATCTGTGCAGCTCTCTCTAATCTCCTGCTTGATTGGCTTCAAGCCGAACCATCTATCCTCAGGGCTGGGACTTGGGAGAGGCAAGCGAGCAAGCGAAGTGCCTGGGGCGCATTATTGAAGAAGGCCCCCAGAGAGTGACTCGTTTATGCATCTTAATCCTTGCCCTGTCTAACCTTATCTCCTCCTGTTCACTCCCCCCAGCCGGCCCCCTCCTCCACCCACACTGGAATTCTTCCCGTTCCTCCTTTGAAAATACTATGCTCTTTTTGACCTCAGGGACTTTGCACCTTTGCCTGGTACACCCTTCTTTCTGCTCCTTACACGGCTGTCTCCTTCCCATCCTCCTGACCCTGATTAAATTTCACCCCCTCAGGAAGCCTTCCTTGACCATTCTAACTAAAATAAACACTCCATCCCCAAATTAATCCCTATTCAAGCCTATTTAATCCACCATAATAGATATCACAATCTGTAATTATCTTTCTATTTATCTGCTTATTTATTTAATTCCTCTGTCTCCCACTTAAAATGAGCTCCGTGAGGTCAGTTCCTACCCATGCCTGTCAGTAAACCACTGAATCCCCATGGCTGGCCTACATATGTTATTAGATGAATGAATGATGATGAATGAACATATGAACGAACCACGTTCACCTCCCAGAAATTCACCTTACAAAGATAACTTCATAGAGATAATGTTTCTGGAAAGCGTATCGGTCATAAAGTGAGGAACTGCATCGTTTATAAATTAAGATCCTAGGAATTAGACTCTGGGTTCAAATCCCAGCTCCACAACTTGCCAGCTCCATGACCTTGGATAGGATGCTTAATAAACGAAACTAAAACTAAAGTTAATTCTTATAAGACACTTGTCTATGAACACTTGGGGGACACAGCTTGAAACACCATTTTTCATACATAAAGATGATTCATTATCAGAAATGCAACTCAGTCCTCTTCTGTAAATGTTTACAGGGCCACCTATTTTGTGCCAGTCTCATGCTAGGCACTGGCTAAACAAATATGAATTAGACAGTTCCTGTCCCCCAGGAGCCACAGGGCATTGCCATGTCACAGCTATTGGAGTCCACTGTGTACACGGCACTTGGCATCATTTAACGTATGAACCGCACTGCCCCATCGACCTTTGTGATTGAAAACATGGTTGCCCAGGCTGTGGCTCTGCACTGGGGCCACAGAACATCTTCCTTCTCTGTGGGAATCTCCCTGGCCTGCTCTGAATAATCCTGAGAGCTCTATAGGCAAGTTTTGTCTCATGGCATTGCTCAACCACTATTACTAACTTCTGAAATAGTCCATATCCAAGCCATCTCTCTACACACATTTCTAACCCACCCTACTTCCCATCACTTGGCAAACTGAGACTTAACCTTCAGGGAAACAGCTCTGATGACTCCTCCTCTAGGAAGCCATTCCCAGTCTCCGAAGGCTGGGTTGAGTGCCCCTGTGTGCACTCCCTTCCCAAGCAATGTTACCCCTGCTACGGTTGGTCCTTCCATTGAATTGTTATCTATCTCCTCATCAGACTATGAGCTCCTTGAAAGCAGGTGGTGCATCTTATTCATGTCAGAATACTTAGTGCCTGGCACCTACTAGATACTCCATAAAATGATAATAAATAAATGAGATTTCTGTTTTCATGGTCCAGAAGCTTTGTAGAGTTGAGGCAAGGGCAGAAGCAAGATGATGGGGGTGGAGGACAAAGGAGAATGCCCATACTGCTATGCACCAGCCATGCAATACATTTCCAAGATGTTCATGGAAATGTGGCATAAAGTCAGTTTAAAAAATGTCCTGTGTTGGGACATTTTGCCAGAAGATTAAAATACGGGGATGAAAATAAATAAATAAATAAATAAAATAAAATACGGGGATGGATTTAAAAAGGCGAGGTGGAGGTAAGGGGAGAAAAAGCCACTTACGTGTAGTCCAGGCTAAAATACGTCCTTCCCTTTCCCTTAAGTCAGTTTCAAACTGCAGGTCAAGACCATGTATGCAATGTAAAATAATTTAACGGCCTCCAATCATCATTTAAAAAATATAAGCAGAATAGAACAGGACAGAATAGAAAATATCAGAGTGTATCGCCTGTAATGAGGGTAAATATTATTCCCCAAAACTTGAGATATGTGTGTATAGATCATGATGTGATACAGATTTCTTACTGTGAGTTCTGATCAGTGAAAATTGGGAAGCTGCTGCTTAGGTGATAGGGCTCTAGTTGGAGCCATGCAGCTAAAGAAGCAGCAGGGCTTCCCAGGAAGAAAACTCCAAGGAAGAGGAGAAACAGGGGAAACTCACCACTAAGGGGCAGACTCTGGAGGAAAGATGAAGGCTGTGAAGGGTGAGCAAGCCTTCGTTGCAGACCCATGGGAGCGAGGGGGAGAGTTAGGAACGGCTGCTGCAGACTGCAGTTCTCCATCACTTGGGAGCTAGTCCACCACCATCTTACCTTGCAGTGTCCCCACTAGCCCAGTACTAAATCCCGAAATGGTATCACTAAGCAGCCATTCCTTGATCCGGTATTTGGGGAGCCAGTCCAAGATGGGCAGGAGAGTCTTCAGCACACCAAGGGTTCTCTTTCTTGAACAACTGTCAAAAGGCAAGAAAACTAGACTTCCAATCCAATCTCCGTCACAGCCCACTGCAAATCACAAAGTTTTGAATTGAACTCTGCTAATGTTTCTAACTATTTAGAAAAAAGGATAGGAATTGCATGGAAAATACTAACAGTGAAGTGCTTACCATGTCTTTGCCAAGAACTCTATTTACACTTTTAAATGCACTGTACTAGAAAACACAGGATTAAGTGTTCCCTCCCCTCTCCCACCTTCTTAATCCTCTGAAAAAACATCCCTAAGCAAGAACCCATTTTCTGGTCCAGCCCCAGATTGATCAGTGTGGAGTCTTTAAATGGAGATTAATTTTTGGACTTCTAACCCAGGCACTTTCTTCTTCTCTTTTTCTTTCAAGAAACATAAACAAACTCTGTATATTTTGGCAATAGGAGCTTGGAGCCAGTTTTTACAACTCTTAACATGATGAATCTATACCTTGCTGCACCCTGCTATCTAGTTTTTAAAATTCAACAACCTATAGGTAAAAGAAGAAACATATTAAAAGTAGGTGAACACTATTTGACTCCTGATTCAAATAAATTATTTTAAAAATTATATTTATGACACAATTTGAAATTTTTGACTTAAATTTTTATATTAAGGAATTTAAAAATTTTTGTGTGTGATAATGGAATTGTGGTTGTATTTTTTGAGTCCCTAAAGATATATACAGACAAAATAAAAAACAAAAAAACAAAAAGAAACAGCATATGGGACTTACGTTAAAAAAAAAAGTCGAGTGGGGCAAGTATGTGGTGAAACAAGATTAACTTTGAGGTGATCATCTTTGAAGCTGGGTGATGGGTAAAAACATGGGAGGGGGTTCATTACACTACTATGCCCACTTTTGAATGTGTTTGAAATGTTTTATAATAAAAGGTTTTTTAACAGAAAGAAAATCTAGCAGCAGCTGATAGCTCCCTTTTTGTTTGTGATATCTACTTACGGGTGTCCCGTTTGGGTTTAGAGATTGATGGAGGTTCTTCTCGGGGGGCCCTACTGCCTGGCAGTGGACAGCTTGGAGCACAACGCGCTCCGTGTTCTCGCCTTCACTTCGTGTCTCTGAGTGGCATCCGTCCTAGATGAGTTTGGGGCTTTCAAGGATTCTTGGTCAGGTGACGGGTTACCCATCACCTCTCTGTAATCGAGCACCTTGCTCTCCCTCTCTCCTCAGCCTAGCCTTCACGAGAAGGCCGTAGGGAACCTCTGTACCCCAAGGCGCACTCCAGGTGCCCTCAAGAGAGGAAAAGGAGATGAGGCTCCCCAAACACACCCTCTCCAAAGATGAGTTTCCGAGACTAGGGTCGATTCGGGCCGAGAATGATAGAGCCACTCTCCCACCGGGAAGGCCAGAGTCCGTGAGCTGACCGAAGCCGGGTCGACCCTGCAGGGCGGCGCAGCATCCCACACTCCGCCACCGGGCACGCCCGCGGGTCGGCGCGCCCGGATTCCCGGCTTCACCTGAGCCCCGCGCCCCGCCCGCCGCGGCTGCTACCTGCAGCCCTTGGCCAGGCTCTCCCGCAGCGTCTTGCGCTCCTGCAGGCGCCGCTCGTACTGCTGCTGGAAGGCGAGCTCGCTGTAGACCGGCCGCGACACCACGTAGCTGCAGCTGTACTCGGGGAGCGGCGGCGGCTCCAACCTGCCGCCCGGCGCTGCCATGACCTGCGAGGCGGAGGACGACGAGGAGGGAGGAGATGGAACGAGGGAAGAGAAGAGGAGGTGAAGACCGCCCGTTAGCCGCCCCCGGCCGGCCCCACCTGTTGCAGCCGATCCCCGAGACCCTGGTCCGCGCGCTGCCGCCCTCTGCGCCCGGGACCGCCGCCCCCGGGCGCGCACCTCCAGCCTGCAGGGGGCCCTGAGGACCTCTGGGTCCCGAGCCTGCACCTGCCGCCTGGCGCAACCGGACTTTAATAAGAGGGTGAGCTCGGAGCTGGGGGGCGGCGGGAGCCCGACCCAGTCCCCTCAGATGGGCAGCCAGGGCGCTGTCCGCGTCCTGAAATCTCCCCAAACCCGGGCTGGGGCCCGCGGCGCGCAGGGGGCAGGAAGGGGGACCCTGTGAACGTCCCTCTCTCCCCGCACCTCACCCAGGGCGCAGCGCCAGGCGCGCCCTGGGAAAGAAGCACAACCCCCGGGGCCGGGCGTGGAACCCTCAGGCCATGCTCCCCGGGTCCCGAGGCTGCGCGCGCGCTGCAGGCAAATTCCAGCAGCCGGGCGCGCTCTCTCGGGGACAGAACTTTGGGCGGGTGAGCAGGTCTCACCCCTCGGCCTGTTTTCCTAGCTTCCTTCTCGCACTCAGCTTCTCAGAAAGAAGGCTGTACTGTCCCCTGCCCGGCGGCTCTGTGTGCCCCCCCCCCACCACTAGTCCCATCCGCAACCAGCGATGCCTCCCCGGGAGTTAAGCCAGGGCGGGGTGGGGTGCGCTGCATCTTCAGCGACGATCTCACCTGCTCCGGCTCAAGTCCGGCCCGGAATGCCCCCGGGACAGCCGTTCCGCCGCCTTTATAGCGCTCGCAGAAGGCAGTGAGACGTTTTATTTATGGAGCAACAGAGACACCTTAGTCCAAAAGAGGGACACACAGGCAGCGGTCTTTTCCCCACCTATCCTACCGGGAAAAAAAAAAATTCTACCCCTCCCGAATTCTTTCCCTTTCCCGAACCAGGAAGGCTAAGAATCTTACTGGCTGTCACCCAGGGGCCACCCGAATCCTCACTCGCGCCCTAATTAGTAACGTGGGTTACGAGGTCAGGGGCGAAACAGCCCCTGGGGAATTTGTTACGGAGAGCAGAGCCCAGCGTGGAAGAAGAGGTCAGCTATTGCGGGGAACGCTGACCTTGACCCCTAGGTTGTATGAATCCGGAAGCTCCAAGGTCTGGCACGCGGCTCTCACACCAGGTGGAGAGGAGGAAAGGAGCAGTGGCCAGTTTTGCATTTAATAAGACTTTGGATTTCTAGAAAGTCTTTCTTTAGAAGTACCCAGTGGGTGGTGGTTATAGAGAGTTCATAATTTATTCATAAATGTTAGATACGAACTTTTCTGTGTTTGTGTGTATTTCACTTCACAATCAAAATCAAGTGCCCAGGTGGCCCCTTTTCTTACCTGACTGACTCTGGTTCTTTTGCTGTTTCTTCTCGTTCATCTGAACAGTCAAGGAGGGAATAAACTGGACTAAACAGGAATCAAGACTAGAAGAGAGTGAGTGGGGAGTCTGATGCACCCTACTTAATCAGTGTTTTGTCTTCTGCTGGGTTGAATCTTCCTAAAACTGACTAAGACGGGTTAAGATGAAGGGAAGGAGAGCTTGGTAAACAGGAAGATTCTCTCCTGATTATCAGTAAATGCAGAAGAGGCTCTAAAATATGGACCTTCTGGACACCAGCCTTCAGTTACCCAGCTGGAAAATTCAGACAATGGCCATTCTATAAGCAACAGGAAACAGAATCCTCACAGGAGAACCCTAGTGTAAATCCCCTGAAATTGTATTCAACATGGTATGGTGAGCATGTGTGTGTTTTTCTGAGGGATGAATGAGTCAAAAGCTTTCAACAGATCTTCCAAAGCTTACTTGACCGTTATTAAGGTTAAGAACCCTTGAAGAAAGGACCTGAAAAGAAATCCAAGGACTTCCCTCACCGTCCATTGCTTAAGACTGCGCTTTCAGGGGACACGGGTTGGATCCCTGCGTGGGGTATTAAGATCCCACATGCTGTGCAGCCAAAAAAAAAAATCCAGGTCATGAAGTTTAGAACTTTTATCCATCTGCAGAGGAGAATACATATATATGTGTGTGTGTGTGTGTGTGTGTGTGTGTGTGTGTGTGTGTGTATGTAGTTCATATGTAGTTCTAGAGACATTTTTGGTTATCATACTGGGGGGATGCTACTGAGATGTAGTGGAAAGAGGCCAGGGATGCTACTAAACAACCTACGATGAAGTTTTCAGTCCCTCAAGTTTCTGTATGTTATTTGAATGTACATTTATTAATAAGTTGTTATGTGTACTAAATATATGCATCTCTCTCCATATATACACTACACTGAAATAGAGGCAAGTTTTTTTAAAGTAGATTCTGAATGTCCCCACTTATCACACACCCCCACACACCTTCAACGTCCAGTTAAAACACTGTCTCAAGCATGAACAGTGCTTGAGTCTCTCAGAATTAATCCAGTTACTTCTCTGGATTGTCTTGGCACCTTATCTGGGCCTCTCTCTTTAAGACACCTCTCACTATCTACCTTAGTATCATAATTTGATTTACATACAGGTCTTATCTCCCTCACTAGACAAAAACTTCTTGAGGGCAAGCACAATGTCTCCCTCCAGTCATTATTACCTTCTATAATGTTTTCTAAAAAGATATAGCTATAGCCCAAACATATTTTTTTAAAAAAACAACTAAAAATTATGCTATATATTGGTCTACAACTTTTTTTTTTTTCAGTTAAGGCTATGTTAGGAATATTTTTCCAGGTGAATACATGTGGATTTTTCTTAACTTTTTAAATAGCTGCCTAAGATTTCATACTATAACTCAGTTCCACGGTAACTCACCTAGACGATTCACAATTCTTTATTGATTTAATTTGGAGGCATTCTCTGCAAATATAAATATAATCTGTGTCTCATTCTGATAGGCATTTCTGCTCCCTGTCACTTGCTATTTTGAACATTTTTAGTCTAGTCCAGTCAGCTCTGTGGACCACTTTGTATCACAACTTGGTGATCATATGGTGATGGTAGCAATTCAAAGGAACAGGGAGTGGGTTAGAGGTCTCAGAAGGACAGAGGAGAAAAGAAGCTATCAAATAACACTAGGAGTCAATGGTATAACTTCCCCTGGAGAATAGACAGAATTCTTTGAACCGCACCTTTCTAGATAAGGATTCGGTTTAACAATTATCACACTATAATAAGACTTACATGTACCTGGATGAATATATTGCCTTTTTTTTTCTTTCTGTTAAATGCTTTTTCTACTGAAGAAATAAATGGTGCATGGACAGAATGGCATCTCCCTTACAGGTTTCTATAAAAGTATAGAACTGCTTTTCTCACTAGTCTGAATTTGGCCATCCTTTAAAAATAGAAACGAGTAGGAGGTGATAACAGCTGACTCTCCCCACCCAATTTACTTGTTATATTAAACACCTCAAATTACTCACTTTAGAAATCAAGCTTCACCTGTTTCACATAGAGGTGGGTGGTTCTTATCTACCAGAATTTAATCATTTCCAGGACTTCTTTCCAAAGAGATAGATGTGTCACTTCAAAAAGAAATGTCAGACAATATTATTGTTACCTTCCAGCACTTATTTAGCAGTTAATGCTGATTAAAATGCATTTCCTTATTTATATCCTTTAGGCATTTGGAGTGTAAGACAAAGTCCGCTATTACATCTGCACTCTCACTTATTTGTTCATTCATTCATTCATTCATTCATTCAAGGACTTATTAAGAATTTATGAGTGCTGGCCATGATACAGTGATGAACAAAGAAGCATGAACCCTGGTCTCATACCTGTGGGTGCAGCAAACATTCACTACATGGTCACAAGTTGTATGTTATATTTCACTGATTCTAAAATGCAGATTTTTCACATTTTATCAGGACTCATAATTGATGGTGTGTTATAGTTCAGTTGGCAGCATTTTTTTTTCTTTCTTAGTGGTTCATAAAATAATTGTGAGTTTTACAATTAATGGCATAATAGAATTGATGAAATATCAATATATATATAAAATCATAAGTGTAGCTATATATTTGAGTGATTTCACGTGTTACAAGAATGATTTAATTGAGTCCTGTGTTTATTTAAATTGAGAGAATTCAGTCTTGCTACCTTCTTCTGGTCTAGAGGGCAAATTTTACTTAGTTTCTTTTTCATCTTTTTTTTTTTTTTTCAACTTAAAATTTTCTCTAATCAGTAGAATTGCAAAATAACAGAAATATGCAAATAATGCCCAAAAAGTCTGTTTTTAAAAGCAACCTAGATTCTGATTTTTATCATTTTCTACCTTTGAACTGTAATGTTTTTACCTTATTTCTTGCTTTTTTTTTAAAATGTAGAATTGAATTGAATCACTTCTGTTTGGAGGCAGCATTTGACTCACTGTTAACATTTCAAACAGGAACACTGTCTACTTTTCAGATTGACATTGGTGAAAAACCAATTGCCAGGGAAAGTCATTTTCCCTGGGAATTTCAACTCTGATCTGTGAGCTTTATTTTTATTATGTTTGTTAATTTTCTCAAGACAATTGATGCTAAGTTTCTGCCATATTTAAACAAAAAGATAACTTTAACTTTCTCTTTTCCTGACCTCTCCTCTGAAAACTGATTTGGCTTATTTTCAGTAAGCATTCAGTTTTGTATTCTATTGTTTTTTATTTATTTTCTGAATGTTACTTTTTCCCCCCTCTCCAGATATAAGATCTGCTCCTTAAAGACAGAAATAATATGTTATATGTCTCTTATGGTATTAAAAAATTAAATATGTCTGTAGTGAACAAGTTGGAAAATATATTAAAATTGAAAATAGCAATCATTTCTTATCACCCACATAATCTCTGTTAAGCTTTTTGCTTATTTCCTTCTTGTTTTTTTTTTCTATGCACACAAATGTATATATTTCAAGCAAGTAAGAGTATAATGCTAG